TTCTTTCTTTCTTTCTTTCTTTTCTTTTCTTTTCTTTTCTTTTCTGCCTTTCTTCTTCTTCTTCTTCTTTTTTGGACAAGCTCCTGCTCTTTAATAGCTAATGGTAGGTAGGTATAACACAATCCTTTCCATACAGGGAACTACTATTGAATTTGTCCAGTTTCTTTGGAATATTAGTCTTTCTCTTCCTCTTTTTTTAAAAATTAAGAATGTATCAACATCTGAAAATGTCTTTACGCATGTGATGGAAAGAAGTTGAGATTTCAAAGATATTTAGTGTAGGTTGACAGGAAAACAACAGTTTTGCCCATGACTGAGGAGCAGGGCACAGAAGCAGCAATGGGGAACCTCAAGAGCCTGACAAGTAGAAAATGACATCCTCTCTCAACATTCTGGGAATGAAGCAACTGATGTTCTCAAACATGGATCCTCAGATATTGTTAAACTACAGCTCCCAGAATCCTTCACTATTATGTGGGCTTCCATTTGAGGATCCAAGAGTGGAGACCACCGGACTAAGCCATAGGGTGCTGCAGCCCCAAAATGCACAGAAGCAGTACTTACGGGCATCTTTTCCATAGGGATCAGAGTACAACAGCTTCTAGGAAATATTTGACTCATTCCAAGAAGCCCACCCTGATTCACTAGTAAGAGGGCAAGCAGAAGGTACTTATCCAATGCGTGCTGTGGAGTATTGTATCCAGTATTCCAATGCCTATGTTATAAATATTGATTCACCCAGACTACTGCCGTTTTTGACATGATCCCAGCTGTATAACGTCTAGCACATCTGTTGCACTGCTGCCACTGCAAAGTGATGTCATATGGGAGGCATTATCCTCTTAGAATAACATATTATAGTTTTATACCAAGTGAGTGCATTGATGGGAAAGATGATGTCCATTGTCAGCACACCACAAATCCAGGAGGGGAGAAGATTGGATCTGTGCTGCTTGGGGTGCTGGAGCATTAGCAGCGGTGATGATCTAGGTCAAATGCTGCATTTATCCTGCCGTTGCCTTGCTTTTGTTTGGCAGAGGCCAGAATCCTATTGGTGAATCCATATTTACTTAACTTGACACACGGAATTGTGGGTAATTGATGAGGTGATGGATCAGGTACACGATCAGGCAATGACCAAGACACACCCTGGCACCTTGTCAAATAGTTGCCATCAACTGCAGCAGGTTATGGAGACCTTAATACAAACACGGTTAGATTCTGACCTGAAAGTTTTGTAATACTGGGGTAGATATTCAGAGTCCACCAAGCTGTAGCTGTAGCAATTTTGACCCCCCAAGAAATCTGCCTGCCTCCCACAAATTCCATTTAGATGCATGGCTGTGAGCAACCTCCTTCCCAACTAAAAGCAGAATGAGAATTTGGTGCCAACCCTGAGAAAGAGCAAGTGTATTTTTAATGCTCACCTCCCCCCCCCAAAAAAGGTAGAAAGGTGAATAGGGCCAAGGGGACATGTTGTTTATTTTCTAATGTTCATCCACTGGTTCTTCCCCATAAATGCTGGTGTCCTGGGGGAAAGCTCAAGTTGCTGTATCCTAGTTGGGGCACTGATTGTAGACCATTCTATGCTATTATCCTGCTACACATGTAGACTAGGCCCTGAAGACAACACCCTGCTATAACCAGCTCTGAAGCAGGGAACATGTGTGGGTGTGTGGGTGCCAAAACCTGTCAGAATGAGAAGAAGGGAGTGCATGGAGAAGCTGTAATCCAATCTATTCCAATCCATTTTTATTTATTCTGTGGCTGATGGAAAGCTCTTCAAGTGCTTCACAATTACTTCAGATAAAAATCCAATTCAATCCAATTCAGAAAACTCAGTGTTAAAAGAGAAAGAGATGGAGAGAGAGAGAGAGAGAGAGAACAGGCATCTGTGAAGGCAGAGTAAAGAAAATGAAACCAGCAGTGAGGAGACCAACAAAATGGTGTGAGGAGACATATTTTTAAAAACTAGGTTAGGAAAAATTAACACTGGGCCAACAAGACATTTAGCTATGAAAAGAACCTATAATTGCTGAGTCTATAGGAACGCATTAGCTGAGGAAATACTACGAGAATCTCTAAAGAGTTGAGAGCGCAGAGCTAGCATACAAAGGGATGTTGGGGTTCAGGCTGGCATGACGTTTTGACAAATATGACTGCTATTAATACTTCACAGCTTGGGAATGTTCCAGATAAGGGGAGAGAGAAGGTGGAAACAGCCTAGCCCTCTGTGCAAAAATCAGATTTAGTGTTCATTATTTCACATACATCTTAATTGCCCACAGAATCACAAATGGGATTCCCAGGGAGGAAAGAGCAAGCATGTGAGAATGACTCACCCCTTCCCAGCGACTTCCTTTATTTGCTCTTTTTCTAAAGCTGTGTCGCACATAGGAGGAGCAAGACAAAAAGGAAAGAAAGGCAGAGGAGACACCATGCCACACTCCTCAGACTGAATGGGAAAGGACGTGCTCAAAAAAAATGTAAATGCATGTACCTGTTCCCCCAGCACTATATTTACGCCTACATTCATGTCGCTTCCTGTTACTATTCACATTCCCTCTTCAGTGGGAAGCAGGCTTTTTTTGTCACTCTCTGGATTATGTGAAGACATGTTTCCCCCGCTAAGACAACGGGTGTACTGGTTAATATATTGGCCTAGTACACGGGTGGGCATGCTGTTGGACTGCAGCACTCTTCAAACTAGGCTAACTCGTAGGAATGTTATGAAGACAACATGGGAGGGAAGGCAAAATATGCTGCAATATAAACTGTACATAATAAAATACTAATGATCAGGCTGCCGATCCATTTCTGGACACAACAAAGTGCTGGTTTTAACCTATAAAGCCCTAAACAGCTTGGGTCCACGCTATCTGAAAGACAGTATCTCCCTTTATGAGACATTAAGATCATCAGGAGAAACCTTATTTCTTGGTCTCACTACCTCACAGGTGTAGCCACTTTGGGTCCCTTCTTGGGATAAATGCGGCATATAAATAAATCTAATAATAAAACTAAAACTAAAACTAAAATTAAAACTAACAACAACATTAATAGTAATAGTAATAGTAATAGTAGTAGTACTAGTAATGATGATGATGATGATGATGATGTGTTTCCACCAAAATTAGACAAGGTCTTATATTAATTTTTGCTCCAAAAACGCATTAGGGCTTATTTTCATGGGATGTTTTATTTTTTTCATGTACAACAATCTACATTTATTCAAAGACAGTCATGTCATCTTCTTCTGGTTGCTGCACAAGGATGGAGGACATGGTTTCACTCAACTGGGGTTATTTTGGGGGTAGGGCTTATATTACGAGCATCCTGTAAAATCATAATAGGACTTATTTTCAGGTTAGGTCTTTTCGGTGAAAGAGGGTATGTGAGTGGTGACACGGGAGAGGGCCTTCTCTGTTGCTGCTCTCTGACTCTGGAACTCCCTCTCGGAGGAGGCCAGGCTCTCCGATTCTTCCACAAGCACCAAAATGTGAGAAAACATGGCGCCCACCCAAGTAACCAAACAACCCATGTAGACTGGCTAAATATGATTTCTTAACAGTACCTTTATATTCTTACAACACTACATCACTTTAAATATTCAATTGTCAGAGAGTCCATTCAGGTCCATCAATTAAATTCATCAGGAAGCCGAGAGATCTTGCTTAAGTACAGTATGTGTAGTTCATGGTTTAGAAGACTTGGATCAGGGTTTTAAGTCCATTACATTTCTTTACGGCAGAATTTCCTTGGGAAAGGAAATTCCTATTTAAAGGATAAATGTGGGGCAAAAAATACTTTAAATAAAATAAAAAATTAGTATTTGGGAAAGGATCAGGTCTCAAGGTGCTGGCTGAAGATTCGAGGAACTGCTGTGTAGCCTTGGGTGCTCAGGCAGGGAGAAAAATCTCCCGGCCGTTGGAGGTGGAAGAGAGGTATCAGGGTGTCATGCCCAGCCAGTGGTGTAGTGGAGTCCGGGCTCACAGGATCAAGCGCCTGGAACTTTCTGAGTCACTGGGACTCTCACAGCATCATCCATCAGCCCACCCGGCCCCTGGGCTTTCCAGTTCCCTCTACCCAGGAGTCCTCTCAGCAATGGTTCCTCACACCCACCATCAAGAACAGTATATGGTTGCAAGCTATTCCTTTTATAATGTAAAGCAACTGACTGTAGCTGTTCTTGAATGGGCAATTAAAAACCATTACTTTTATCAAGAAAACGAGGGGGAAAACACCTCAGCTCTGTTTCTTATTTGTTCTTATACAGACCATTCCAGCTGTCTGCACTTTTTGGAGGTGGGGGCGCTGGCTGGGAGGTCTGTCACGATCAGCACCAGAACTTCCCTATGAACCAATACATCTCTGCTCCCAAATTGGGGAGAGGTCCACTGTGTTTTTGCGTATGTATTGCACACATGTGACTTGCTTTGGAGGGGTGTGTGTGGAGGAAACCGGTACGTTCTCTTTCTCTGTCTTGTATTATCTTATAATTGCTACACAAGTATCTACCCCCCATCACCTCAGGACATGCTCTCTGCCTTGTACACCTGTGCACATCTACGCACACACGTCCAGCATCTGCCTAATGAAGATATGTGTGTTTGGTGAAGTGGTCTGAGAAAGTTCGTGTCAAATAAAGGGTAGAGAAAGCCCCACTGAACTCAATGGGACTGATTTCAGAATAGGTGCCCTCGCCTTTACTATAAGCTTGTGACTTTTTAAAACTACGCTGCACGCGGTGGTTTGGCGCCACACAAACACAAGCTCCCCACTGAGACGCGGGCGGCCATTTATTATCCTAATGATCGCTATCGTAAAGCTGCCGAGGCCACTATCGCTTGGACGCGCGCGCACATGCGCATTCGAGAAACGGCAGAAAAGGCGTCCGGAAAAACAGATGATTTGGAACTAAGGGGACACCGTAAGGAAGAATGGCTTTGTAAGGGCGGAAGTGATCCCATCACGGAATCACTCTATATAGTCTTTTTTTCTTTTACGGGCGGAAGTCCTGTGGTTACAGGGCCGGCGGCGGCGCTCTTTAGAGTTGGGCTTCCTCCTTCAGCAGCCGCCGTCGTGAACCAAAGGAGTGGCTCTGAAGAGAACAGTATCTTTCAGAGCTTTGTAGCCTTCCAGGTGGTGTAGAAATCCCAACACCCGGTAGGCCAACCAGCCTGGCGGGTGGGGTGGGGTAGGGCATGATGGGAGTTGTAGTTTGACGAGATCTGAAGGGTCAGACACCAGGTAGTATCAGCCCCAGAGAGGCTTCCTTGACCGGGGGTGGGGGAGCGGGGCTACAGCAAGATCTGAGGAAGGCCTGGATGCTAAAAGCCAGGCCTTGTGCGTGGACACGAGTTTATATTTTACTAATGGGGGGGAAGGCTTTGATCAGTGGCATTTAAAATAATTAAATAAAGTTTCCTCCAAAATCTGCTAGGCTACGAATGCCATATAGCGCCTGTGAACATCAATAATGGGGACTGTGTGATGTAGAGCAACTTCTGGAGTGCCGGACTGTGTGATGTAGAGCAACTTCTGGATTGCCTAAGCAGGGAGATTGTATTTTCAAAGGAATATATTTCTGTGCAACCTGGCAGCCTAATACTGTAATACCAGTTGCCCTATTTTAACTTAGTTGGGGGATATAATATGCTGGCTGGATAGCTCCGTAAGTAATTTATCTGGTTGTGGAGCCAGAGGTAGGGAGTTCAATTCCCTGCCATGCCTCCCTCGAGTAGAGCCAGCCTGTGTGGCCTTGGGCAAGCTGTGCAGTCACAAAATGTCCCCCCAGAAAAACATTTCTGAGTGCTCGCTGCCTAGAAAACCCTGGGAAGCGTTACCATAAGTCAGAATTGACATGAAGGCACAAAATGCTAATGGCATTTATATCTCTAAGTAACTGGCTGGCTGAGTGGGGTTTTTCAAAAAAAAATTGTTGGACCTTACTGGTTTTAATGTGTTTTGTTGCTGCTTATGATATTTGTATGGTATTTGTTTGATCTTTTTTACTATTTGTATCCTCAGTGTTGATAGCTTTTACAATGTCTTTCAGTGATGTAAAAACACTAGGAACTGATACATCCAATGGTATCAAAAATCAGAATGAGAAACTTAGTCTCTTTTTCAATTATATAAGGCTTTTTTTCTTTTCTTTTCTTTTTTTGGATGATGAGTACCAAAACGAGAACTTACAGAAACATAAGAGACTGGTTAGTTCTCATGCATGATGGTGCGCTTACAGAATGTTCATTCGTAAGAGTTATAGATTAGCTTCAATATTTCTTGTAACTGTGAGAAAATGAACAGGAGTTCAGTACTCTCCCTATGTGGTGGGGAGTTACTCTGTTATTGGACAGAGTGATATCTGAGGACGATGCAGCATCTAATACCACTAGGTTACTGAAGGCTGGCATTGGATATCCATTTGGGCCTTTAAAAGTTCGTTTCTGGCTTAAATGCCTTTAAAACAGTATTGACATCTACATATACTGTAAATAGTTTTGGAGAAATCAAACTATTTCTAGATGTATTTGGAAAATTGCAAATATATTTCTATATTGCAGGTGAAACTCAATTAGAATGTGATAACAGAGAAACAGATTACAAATTGAACCACTTATAGAGCACTCTGGTACAATGTGTTTCCCAGTAATCGCATGGTGTATAGGGAAATCTTCTCCAGCTGAACTTTCATCTATGCCCATGCTGAAACTTTTTGATCCGCTTGTAGAGCTATTATTTGGGGGGGGGGGCTGGGCTGGAAGCTGAGGCTCCAGTAATTTCTAGATGTATTTGGAAAATTGCAAATATATTTCTATATTGCAGGTGAAACTCAATTAGAATGTGATAACAGAGAAACAGATTGCAAATTGAACCACTTGTAGAGCACTCTAGTGCAATGTGTTTCCCAGTAATCACATGGTGTATTGGGAAATCTTCTCCAGCCGGACTTTCATCTATGCCCATGCTGAAACATTTTGATCTGCTTGTAGAGCTGTTATTTGGGGGGGGGGGGGGCTGGGGAGTGATTCCCTGGCAGACAGAAGGGTTTGTGGGAGATCAGTTCAATTAAAGTGACCATTTTCAGTGTGATCCTGTGCACTTTTGCAGCCATCTGATCACACCCTTAGCTGTCAAAACTTTCTTCCTGAAGATTCATAATATGCATACTGTGGATGGTTGTGTACCCTAACTTGACTCCTTGGATGTTGTTGGACTTATTTATTATTATTTATGATGATTTAGTTCTTTGCATTTCTTCTTTGACTTTCTGCCAAAAAAGAGGTCTCAGAATGGTTTATAACTGAGATAATAAGACAGTCCCTGTCCACAGGTTTACAATCTAAAATGTAAATAATGAAACAGAAGGATTAAGGGATGCTGAAGCAGAAAAATGTTCAGTCCTTTGCTGTACCTTGCAGATGAATGTGGTGTAGTAGTTTGAGCATAGTGCTGGAATTTGGGAGATCCAGGTTGAGGTTTCCACAGCATCATGAAAACTCTTTGGTGACTCACTCTTGACTGATCCATCTTTCAGTTTCGTTTCTGAGGATGAAACAGGGGCAGGCGCCATACACACTCCTTGTGCTTGTTGAAGGAAAGGTAAAATACAAATCCAAGTAATTTTTTAAAAAATCCTGAGGAGAATGGGGCTAATCTCTCCAGAGATGTCTTTCTCTGCAAGGCATTAGAAGAAGTTGCAAGGTGTTGACTTGTTCTCTCCACAATTCCCAGATCACCAGCTGATGGTGTTGAAGCTCTGATTAATATTGTGTATGTCTGAACAGACTTATAGCGACCCTAACAGAGCTTTCAAGGTAAGTTAGATATTTAATGAGTGGCTTTACCAGTTCCACTCCCCCAGTGAGTTTCCATGGACAGGTGGGGATTCATACCCTCTTCTCCAGAACCCTAGTCCATTATTCTATGCACTACACCACACTGGGAATCAGTCTGATTAATATTACTTTGTGTAATATCCATCTGCATTATGAGCACTATGTTAAACCCAGCAGTTGATCCAGGTTATGACTAAACGTTGCAGGATCTGGCAGCATTTTTGTTTGACATCTTTGTTTCCTATGCTATTTTAAACCCTCTTGTGCTGTTTGATGTCAAAACCATTTTGTAGATACAGGTTTATAATTTTCATTATTTCGCAGGCTTGCAAGTACTGTAGCCCCTTACCTGGGCACCCTGACAAATGAGTATTCTTCAAAGCAAGCAGCTTTGTTGCAGAAGAAGTAAGCCAGGACTCCCCTCTGCCTTTATACTGCCTTTATACTATAGGTCAGGGATGATCGTGTTCAAAGTGACAGGGTGCAACTCAGCTTGTACTCAAGATGATGCATGTATTTTTATGGAGAAAAATATGGAAATAGGACTTCCTTGGGTTTCTTGGACTGCAATTTACCTGTTCTGACTTGTGCCAATGTTTCTTCAACCTTAGACTGTTATTCTTAGGGTTGCTGATGCCACTTCCTTCATAGAATTGTCCTAGGGTTGGAACGGACTTTGGAGGTCTTTTAGTCCAACCCCCTGCCCAAGGCAGGAGACCTCATACCATCCTGGACAGATGGTTGTCCAATCTTTTCTTGAAAACCTCCAGCAATGGGGCACCCACACCATCAGGAAGCAAACTGTTCCACTGCTTCATGGTTCTCGCCATCAGGAAATTGCTCCTTATTTCTAGGTTTGGTCTCACTCTGATGAGTTTCCATCTATTGGTTCTTGTCCTACTGTCAAGCGCAATGGAAAATAAATCAATGACTTCTTCCCAGTGGCAACCCTTCAGATATTGGAAGACTGCTATCATGTCTCCCCTCAGTCTTCTCTTTGTTAAGCTAAACATAATTGGTTATTTTAGTCGTTCTTCATAGGATTTAGCCTGCAGTCCTCTTATCATCTTTGTTGCTCTTCTCTGCACCACTTCCAGGGCATCAGCGTCTTTTTTGTATTGTGGTGACCAGAACTGGACACAGCACTCCAAGTGCAGCCTCACCAGCGTGGTGTAGAGTGGTACTATCACTTCCCATGGTCTCGATACTATCCCCTTGTTGATGCAGCCTAGGACTGTGTTGGCTTTCTTGGCAACTGCAGCACACTGATGACTCATTCTTAGGCAGTGGTCCACCAGGACACCGAAATTGTATTGGAAAGGGTCCAGTGTTCAAGTCTGCCTAGATGCTTCTCGCATCCTTTCTTTTGTTCCTCCAAAGAATAATCCTATTTTAAATCATAATTTTAAATCTAGAAATGAAAAAGACAGCCATGGTTCCTGATGTCTCAAATTTTGTTACCTGAACAAGAACTCTTATAACTTTTTCTACAAGTGTATTTCTCTAATAGGTACAAGCTTTCTTATTTTCTTAGAAAGAAGTGTGCTTCTGATGCCTTGAAAAATTATTAATTAATTAAATTTATACCCTGCCCATCTAGACACATGGGGAAGTGTTCTCCTGTAATCAATCTGAGTTTCAAAGGGCTGAACCCAACTTAACATTGTTCCTGTGATGCTTAATGCTTACCTTTCTACAGATTAGAAGGGCAATCATCATCTATTAAAAATGTCCTTGGTCATTTGTAGTAGATGGACAAGGATTGTGATTCCTAATTCCTAATTGATGAGTAAAAGTAACAGCAGTACTATTCCTCAGATACCCTAAATTAGGATGCTAAAGCCACTGGATATTTGTGTGAGAGAAAAATACAGTACTATTCTACTGATGAAACAAAAGGGCACCCTGTTAATTATATGTGTGTGATCAGTAAGTATGGAAATCTGTTTTGTTGTCAGAATTAGAACAGAACACTGTCAAACGTCTTTTCCCTGCTAACTGAGAATGTGGCAGTTTTTGTGACTTTTTTTTCTCCTTTCAGGTTTATTTGCAAAACATTGCGGAAGTGGTGTTTTTATAACCCTATCTATTTTTTACAAAATTCATGGTGTGGGTTTAATCTTGCAAAATACCAGTCCCCCCCCCCGCCCTCAAATCCTACATTTTTGCAACTTCTGCTGCTGATAGGAGAAAGACTTCTCTTTTTGCAGTGGTGCAGGAGAAATCACATATATTTTCAATTTGATGTCTAAAGATACAGTACTATATTTCATTGAGGACAAGAAAATTTACAAATATTCATTATATCTTTAGTGATCTAGT